TTTTTTTTTTTTTTTTCTGTTCCTTCATTCCCCCCAGAATTCTGCACACATTACTTCTAGTTGCTGAATCACAATTTTTGCTGAAAAAACAAGAAGATTTCTCAAAATTCACCAATTGGTCGGATGCTTCACAATAGTCTTTCAAAATCCGCAGCATATTCTGAATAGAACTAGGAGAAGTATCACAAAAAAACAATGCATCATCCGCAAAGAATAAATGAGAGATCAGGGGGCCTTTTCTACAAATTCGGATTCCTTGCATCTTCTTTCTGGAAATAGCTTGATGGACAAAATTGGAAAGTGCTTCAGATATAAGAATGAAAAGATAAGGAGAAATCGAATCTCCTTGTCTTATTCCTCTAGAAGAGTTCACAAAACCACAAGCTTCCCCTCCAAGATTAAAAGAGAAATGCACAGAGCTGATGCAACTATAAATTCAGTGAGTGAACTTGGAATCAAACCCCAATTTAGCCATGACAGAAATTAAGAAATTCCACTCGACTCTATCGAAAGCTTTGGCCATATTAAGTTTAATAGCCACAAAGCTTTTTTTTTTTTCTTTTCTGAGATGGTTCAAAAAATGAAGGCATTCGTGAGCAATAACCACATTATCGAGGATTTGTCGACTCGGGACAAAAGCAGACTGATTAAGGCTAATGCAAGAGGGAATGACAGATTTCAGTCTACTAGCGAGGATTTTGGAAATAAGCTTGTACACAACATTCAAAAGGCTGATAGGCCTATAATGAGATATCTTGGTAGGATTTTTTTACTTTTGGGACCAGGGTTATTAAGGTTTGATTGACACTCTTGAGAATTTTAGAGCAACAAAAAAAAATCAACCACTGCTTCAAAAACGCAATTCTTAATTTTTTCCCAAGAAAACTGGAAAAACAAAGAGGACATACCATCCATGTCGGGTGCCTTATTTGGATTTAAATCAAAGATAGCCTTTTGAACTTCTTCCATTGTCACTGGCTTTGTAAGATCTTTGTTCTGTGAAGAAGAAATGGCAGTAGGAATTCTCTGAAGGATCCTAGCATTGGCAGCAAGTTGATTAGAACTGAACAAGTTCTTATACCAATCCTCAATTTCTTCCAGAATCTCTTCTTTTGTATTGCACTCCTGACCAGTGATTCTTTGATGAGCTTCTCACTAGCATTGGTTCTTCTCCTCTGAACTGTACAAGCATGGAAATATTTTGAGTTCTTATCTCCCTCCTTTAGCCATTGGACTCTTGATTTCTGTTTCCAAAAGCTTTCCCCAGCCTTGTGAGCTTGTTTAAGTTTCATGTTCAGTTGGGTTGATGAATTAAATCATCCAAGTTTAATCAGTGCAACAAAACGGCTCAAAATTTGGCTATTAAAGGAATTCAATCCCATTTCATATGTACAAGAATTACGTAAAAATAAATATATAAGCAGTTGAGACTATTTATCCCCAGCCCGCCTGATTAGTTATCATGGCCTGAAGCGGGTTTAAAATATCAATCATATGGTCTCTTATGATCTATTTCCACAGATCTATTATCCTAGCGAGAGATTAAAAAAAAGATAAGTGGGTGGTTAGGAATACCAAGATACACAAATAATTAGTAATGAAGATTCTGAAAATTTTCCAAAAGGATATTTTTTTATAGATTATAGATAAAGTAATTCAGACCGGGTCTTTAACTTGTTATAAAGGATTAAGAAGTACTCCCCAGGAGTTCCATCCAAAGTCTGTTCCTATTTTCTGAGAAGGTAGAATAGGAACGAAATCGTATTGAAAATGCTACCATCATAGGTTAAAACATCTTTTCGATATTTCTTTATTTTAGAAGTCCTTTGTTTATTCAAGGACAAAGTTCTTAATCAAGAAAGAAAAGTGAAAATTCTTAAAAGATGAGATTAATTCAGAAGCATTTTGAATTAGAAATCTAGCAGACAGAATTGCATTGGTCTAATTGTAGGCCTTAGCACAAGAAGATTAAGAATTTGACTACGCGACAACCTAGAGGGATCACAGTGTTATAGAGGTCTATATCATTCATTATGCAATGATGTATGGAAGATAAACATCTGAAAACAAATAAA